CGTCATATCGGATCTCAAGGCTCACTGCAGCCGAGTACTCGTCGGAAATTTTCGCAAATTCCAAGCGGCTCCCCAGCCTCAGGCTGCTTTCCAGCAACTGCCCCTCGCCGAGAGCATTCTGGGGGTGCCCGACTCGTCCCGAACGGCCGCCGGAGACCCGAGTCGTGGCCACAAAACCTGGACGTCCAATGCCTTGAGCAAGAATGAAGACGGATTTTTTTGCCGCCGGTTTCGGCCCCTGCGGGCTGCTTTCGGGCTACCCTGAGACCCGACGTTGCGAACACATGGCAGAATCGCGACGGATCACGACTGGAGCCCTGGGCCCCATGCTCCTGCTGCCTTTTGCAAGCTGGATCGATCTGTGATGGCCCGAAACAGAGCAACATCGCCCAGCTCGAAACAGCGGAGACGCCAGGACCTTGCAGGTCCACTGCGGGCGAGAGCCGCTCCGGATGAGAAGCCGCCCCTGGCCATCGCTCGGACGTCCATTCCCTGTGTTTTTTTCGGTTTTGTGCGTGGTTGTTTCGCCAACTGATCCAGGATGCTCCTCGATGGTCCTCGCCGAAGGAATAAGTGCACACGTCCGAGCGATGCCAGGGCCCCGGGGGGGAAGAGAGAGCCGGCACTGCCGGGAGCCCCGCCGCGGGCCCATCGGGCCCCCGATATGCCCGAGGAGGGGCCCCTGCCGGCGCTCCTCGCTGGCGCCGCTGCCGCGCCGCCCCGCCGCCCCCCCAGAGAGCCGATGCTCTGGTCTCGTCACTGATGAGGTGTCCCAAGGTCTGGAAGCTGGATGGAACTCCAGCCGGCGCTCCTCGCTGGCGCCGCTGCCGCGCCGCCCCCCCCCAGAGATCCGATTGCTCTGGTCTCGTCACCGATGAGGTGTCCCAAGGTCTCGAAGCTGGTGGAACTCCAGCCGTGGATGGGCTGTGGAGGCCACGGGGGTCGCCCGAAGTCTCGGCCCCTTCCCTGGGGCGGGCCTCTCGTCATCCCGAAGGGTTTCTTGGCGGTCCCGGGGCCCAGAAAGGGGGCCCCCAGAGCCCGACAACGACCAACAGCCGCCGCGACTGTCTTTAAAGGCTGAGAACGACCAAACCCCTTCCGTCGTGCTTCTTTTCGCGGCGCGAAATCTGGGCGCAGGAAGGCCCGCCAGGGGGTCAAGGGGCGGGGGGGGGGGAGTTTCTGGGGCCCCCTGGGGCGCGTTTTCGGGATACTTCCAGGCCTCCAGGGACAGCCGGGGGGCAGGATCTCTAGGCGGCACCAAAACTCACCAGGATGAGCTCCTTCCTCCTCCATCTCCTGCTCCTTCTTCTCCTCCTCCTCCGTTTCCTCCCCCTCCTCCTTCTCTTCGTCGTCCTCCTCCTCCTCGTCCTCGTCCTCGCCCTCGTCGTCCTCGTCGTCCTCGTCGTCGTCGTCGTCCTCCTCCTCCTCCTCCTCCTCCTCCTCCTCGTCCTCCTCGTCGTCCTCGTCGTCCTCCTCCTCTTCCTCCTCCCTCTCGTCCCCGAAGTTGCCTCACGTCCAGATATATGTTTTTCGCTGCGTGGCTAACTCTGAAGGGTGGCGCGCTGGTGGAACCAATGCCCTCCTCCTTCTTTGCCTTTTCTCTCCTTGCTCGTTCCACTCCCCCTTCATTGCTCTTACCGAACGGGGGTTCGGTTCAGGGGACGTTAGAGGAACGTGGCTCTGGTTGGCTCCTGGATGGAGAAATTGTACCCGGCTGGGTTCGTTCCCTAGCCCCACCTTGGGACACCCACCTTTGTACGATTGGAGGAAGGCCAATTGAGACACGCCGGTTCTCCCGCCCTGCCAAAGTCCTCCCACGACCGTGGCGTGACCCCCAATAGGGGAAGACTTCCTATTGCATGGGCGCAGTGCTTGGCATTGCTTGGTTGGGGAGAGTAATGATCGTGTCGGGAGGGCAAGATAGGGAAGATGAAGGGTATGCGATAACATCTGGATGCAATGCGCGATACCCTCATGTCCGCCCACGGATAATGGCATCTTTATGTCGCCCAACCCCACCTTCCCAACCCGATACCTGTTTCCCTGCTTAGCATGAGGCGCCAAAAGAACCGGGGAACCTGGGGCGCCCGAGGAACCCGGGGAACCTCCGAGAAACGGGCAAAGTGAGCCTCCGAGGCACCAACCTTCAACCAAGTAACAACTTCTTAGGCGAGCCTGATTGGGGAACGCCTGTCCTTGGACCCCTTCTGGTGTCCATCATGACTCATGTTTCGGGTCAGGTCCAAGCGCGGCCGCGAGAAACCTCCAGGAAGCCCAGCGAGAAGACGAGGGAAACGCCAGAGAGGGCCGCCGTTGTCTCCCCTCTGACTTGGGGGGTTCCCGAAACTGTGCGGTGACAAACCGTGCGGCGACCTCGAGATTCCCAAAGACCTCGCGACACGGACCGTCGCCGCGCGGGTTTTCGACCCCATTCGCCCGAGACATCCGCGGAGAACGAGCAACGCAGGGGTCGGAAGGTCGCGACACATCGTCGACGCGTTGCCGATATACCTGACGATGCATCGGCGACGTCGGCGATGCACCGTCGACGTCGGCATGGGGACGATCGGGGTCCACATCGACCCACATTGGCGATGCATGGATGATGCGGTGTGATCCTGCGACTCCGACCCCATCTGCTCGGACCCCATTTGGGAGGCTCAGACACGCGGTGTGGCCACCGCATTTTTTGAGGGACCCCCTCCGAACACGCGCCCTCCCCTCTTGGCATCGCTTGCACGTGCGAGCTGTTCCTTGGCGATGACCTTCGGGGAGCATCCTCGACCATCGGGCCAACAAAGACACGCACGAAACCGACAAACGCACGTGGAATGGACGTCCGTTCGACGGCGACCCCCGGGGAAGCCCCCTCCGAGCGCAATCCCCCGAGCCTCCGTCGAGCGCTGGGCCGCGCCTAATCTAAGCGCGGGCGCCCCCATTCACCATCCGAGGGGGGCCGCGCCTGTTCGCTCGCCGGCCAACAGCTCAGCGGTGGCGGCCCCGCCCGGGTAGGCGACCTGCGGGCGGCGCGCGGGGTCTCGGCGGGGCTCTCCCCCCCGCCCCTCCAGGGTGTTGCGTCGAAGATGAGCGCCCCCCCGAAGCGAGGGAGGGAGAAGCGGAAGAGGAGGAGGAGGGGGAGGAGGTGGAGGAAGAGGAGGAGGAGCAGGAGGAGGAGGAGGAGGATGAGGATGATCATGTGGATTATGATAATGATGATGCATATGATGCTGATGCTGATGATGGTGATGGTGATGATGCTGCTGGTGATGATACTGATGATGACGATTATGACGGTCATGATGATGGTGATGACAGGGATTCTGATGATGGTGATGATAATGAATATGATGGTGATGAGGATGAATATGATGAGCATGAGGAGGGGGAAGGAGAGAATAAGTGATGTAGAAACGAGGAAGGGGGAAGCGGAAGAAGAGGAAACGGAGGAGGAGGAGAAGGATGAGGAAAACGAGGATTATGATGGTGATGATGATGATGCTGATGATGCGCTTTGCAATTTGCACCGTGCCCTACAGGTTTCCCTTGCGCCTGAAGCGGCACGTCAAACTGCTGAAAAGAAACGTTATGCAAGAGCGCCTCGCGGGAGGCATAAGAAGATTGAGGTCAGTGCAGCGGGCGAGCGAGCGGGCGTGCACGAGCGAGCCATTCGTCTTTGCTGCGCTGGCCTGCATCCACAAACCAGTCGGAGCCGAGCAGTCGCGCGAGGTCCATCTCCCATCGCCAGGCCTTGAACTCGCAGCCGTGCGTCTGGGATCCGTGCTCGCGTTTCATTCTCTGGGACCAGGCCATGCTGCGCCACTGTAGCAGGGGGGCACTAGCTGGGCAGGCGTGGCGTTTGGCAAGGCGGCCAGGCCGGCTAGATGACCAGCCCAAGTGAGCCCGCGGATGTTCACACCTCTGTCCCAAGTCGGGTGGGAATGGAGAGCGGCAGAGACTCGGCGCCAGCGACGGCGGCAGAAGTCCTCTGGCGTCTCCTCCTTCCATCTTTGTGTGCAAATCAGCTGAGATAACATTTTGCGGTGCGTGATGCGAATTAGAATCAAGTCCTTGACAATGGGGCACCACGTCCCCGAACCATAGAGCAAGACAGGCTTGATGGCTCGCTCGAGCAGCTTCGCGGCCTGTTGCCAGCGGCAGGCGCGTCCAGGTAGAGATAGCTTGAGAGCGTAAAAGGCTCGCCAGGCGCGCGCTACCCTGTGCTGCGTGTCGGCGCGAGGCGCGCGCGTCAGGATGCCGTCCTCGACCCTCATCTGAGTCGCCGAACTCGTGGTCCAGCGCCGTCGTGCCCCAGGTCAAACCAGAGGGAGGTACATGCCAACCGCGATCTCGTAGGATGCGTCGCCAGGCCATCGTCATCTGGCGCAGCGTCTCGGCCGTGCCCGCGAACAGCCAGAAGTTGTCGGCGTAGAATAGTCCCGCCTCGTGCAGCGTCGCCTCGCCCGGGAACTCGAAGCCCCGGCCGTGTGTTCAGCGCTCGTCCAAAAAACTCCTCCCAGGCATCCTCCAGCACCAGGTTGAAGAGGATCGTGCTGGCTGGGTCTCCATGTCGAATGCCGCGAGTCCGAGGTGCTGGTTGCGTCTGGGTCGAGCCCATCTTGATCGCCGCCGAGGCCGTCAACTCCCTCCTGATGGCCAGGATCACGGGCCTTGGCACGGCCCTTCTTCGCAGCGTCTCTTCGACCGAGCGGTGCGAAACACGGTCGAAGGCCGCCTCGATATCGCCGTCCATGATGAAGGTGGGTCGGTTCCACTCGCGAGCCTTCTCCACCAGCATGCGCATGCTGAAGATCACATCCATCGCCTGGTGGAACTTCCGATCGGTGTACTGAGGGCTCCGCAGGGTCAGCTTGCTGCCACTTTTCTTGATCTGGTCGATCGAGTAGAGCTTCTCGAAGGTGGTCAGGGGCGTGACCGGCCTCTACCCCTTGAGCGTGTGCTTGTCTCCCCTCTTCTCCATGAGCTGGATGATGTGCCGCGGCCAGGCTTGGCCCCCGGCGTGCTCTGGCACCCCGCGGAAGCGGTTCTCGAAGACGGCCGCAAGCGAGGCAAGGAAGCCCGAGTCGAGGGCCTGCAGGACCTCGGCGACCACCCCGTCCACGCCAGGCGCCTTCATGGTCTTCATGTCGTTCAGAGCCTCGCGGAGCATCTGGGGCGAGAAGGGCGGGATGTCGAGCGCATCCTCCTTCATGAAGTGGGTGGGGTAGGCAGAGGCCCCGACAGGGTCCTCCCCGTCGCTGACTCTGAAGGTGTTGCCGTACTCGCGCTCCAGAATCTCAGAAGCTCCTTGATCCGCAGCGGGTCGTCCTCGATCTCCCCCTCCGTGTTCACCAGCTGGTTGTAGGCCGGCCCAGGCTGAGCTCGGTGAGGTGCTCGTGCTCGAGGATTGCCAGCCTCGTGTAAGCCGTGCTGCAGGGCCCTGTTCGCGGTCCAGATCTTCCTGCGAATCCTTATGATGTCCTTGCTGTAGATCGCGCGCTGCGCGCGGTCGCGGGTGTCCCGCCGACGCGCCTCCAGTATCCGCGGCATCTGCATGAGCTCGTGGCTCTCGGGGAGCTTGGGGACTTTCCGCGCTGGCGGACCCCTGCCGCGGGCTGCGGCAGCCAGGTGCACGGCGCCCGTCATAGATGCAATCGGCGCTGGGTTGCGGTCGGCGTAGCAGGCGCTGCGGCTCCAGCGCTGAAAGCCGTTGTCGAGGCAGGTCCAGCCCTTCATAGGCGCGCGGCCTCCGATCCAGACGTAGCGCCTCGTGGTGTCGAGGGTGAGCTCCAGCTTGATGGCCGAGTGGTCGGACCGCGCGCTGTCGGCGATCTCTTCGAGCGTGGTGCTGACCTTCCAGATGTCGCGAGCAGGTATCAGGCCATAGTCGATCTGGGCAGGCGGGTGCTTGAAGTCGTAGTGGGAAGTGGGTCCGCTGGCCGCCGCAGTGAACGTGTTCGTCGCCGCAAGGTCGCGCTGCGCCAGAAGCCGCGTCAAAATCTCGGCGCGACGCGTGCGCTGACCGACCGGGAAGTCCCCAATCCAGCGCTCCTCGCCCGCCTGCGGGGGAGGCAGAGCCGTCTGCGCGTCCGCGCCCGCGATCGGACACGCCCCGGGCGGCGCCATCATGACCAGGTCGGAGAGCTCCTCCATGGAGTCCTCGTGCCGGCTGAGAGAGTGTCCTGGAGAACGGTGACTGCATATGATCCAGTAGTCCTTCTTGCGAATGCGAAAATGACGAGCCGCCGAACGTCCCCGTGGCAGCAAATCCCCTCGTAGAGAAAGTTGAGCCCATCTGCTTCTGCCCCTCGACTCGCGGTGTGACCAAGTAGAGGTCGCCTTCGCCGGCCTCTAGCTTCGTGGTCTTGCCCCAATAGCCCCCCTCCTGGAGGATGGCCACATCGTAATCGTGCTGCTCGCGCAGCGTCGCCGCAAAGGACTCGGCGTTGTGCTTTGCGATTCCCGGAGCGTTCCAACTGATCAGCTTGAAGCTCATCTGCTCCTCGGACTCCTTTAGAGTCCGCTCCTTGTCCAATCACTGGCCCGCGTTGACCTTATCCTGGAATTCGACTAAGTTCAGGTCCACGCCCGTGTGGGCGCTGATCTCGGCCGCGACGTGCCCCTTGAAACTCATGAGGCCAGTGGTCCTCACCATTTCGCCAAACCTGTGCTGCTTCCACCAGACAATGCCTCGAATGTAGTCCAGCACCAGGTCGGCCGTCTGCGCGCCGAGGTTGTCTATCATCTCCTCTTTCGCGCGCGTGATCATCATTGAGAGCCGAATCTCCTCTGGGGACTTTCCACTGCGAACCAAAATCGTCGACCCTGGTGATGCGGCTGCGGCATAATAATTTGCTTCACCATTATTGAATGCACCCAAGCCCACGTGCGCCCCGAGCTCGTGGGACGAACCTTCAAGAAGCTCGCACGCTTGAGAACACACCATCCTCTGCTTTGTCAGGAATCGTGTCGGTGAGCGCGCGAGCTTCGGTCAGGATCGTGTTGCGGGGCGTGTCCCGATCCGAGCCGCCGATGGTCACGCAAATCTTGTCGCTCACCTTCTTTGGCCCCGACGGGGCCGACTGTGCCGCGCTCTCGAGCCCCGAGAAACGCAGCGGAGGCCCGACCGAGGACGCTGCCGTGAATGAGGGTGCCACCGAACGTCCCCCTCGTAGGTCTTTGAGCTCCTGCTCCATGCTGTTGAAACGGCCCTCGTGCCTCTCGACGTCCCTGCGTACGTTGTCGATAGATGTCTTCACATCCGCGAAGTCCTTGGCTATCGGCTCCTTGATCTCTGAGCGCAGAATGTCCCTGAAGTGAGCCATCATCGTATGACCGTCCATGGGTGCTGCGGGCGCTGGCTCGCGCGAGCGGCTGCGAGAGCCCATCGGCCGTTAGCACGTTAGCACTATCAGGCAGAATCGTGAAACAGATGGCAGCTGTGAGGCCCATCCCATGCCGCCGCTTGAGCCAAAATGGCTGCTGATGATGATGCTGAAGATGCTGCTGCTGCTGATAATGATGGTGGGGGTGGTAGTGGTGACGATGATGGCGAATATGATGGTCATGCTGATGACGATGATGATGATCACGTTGATGCTGATGCTGATGATGCTGATGATGCTGAGGAGGAAAATGAAAAAGGGGAAGGGAGGGGCGAACTCAGGTAGAAACGAAAGAGGGACACGCGAAAGAGGAGGAGGAAGAGGAGGAGGAGGAGGAGGAGGAGGAAAAGGAGGAGGAGGAGCAGGAGGAGGAGGAGGGGAAGTAGGGAGGAGGGAGGAGGAGGAGGAAGAGGAGGAGGAGGTTGAGGAGGAACGAGAACCGAAAAGGACGAGGAGGAGCGAGAGGAGGAGGAGGAGGAGGAAGGAGGGAGGAGGGGGAGGAGGAGGAGGAGGGGGAGGAGGAGGAGGAAAAGGAGAGGAGGAGGAGGAGGATGAGAATAAGGAGGAAGGAGGAGGAGGGAGGAGGGAGGAGGAGGAGGAGAGGAGGAGGGAGGAGGAGGAGGAGGAGGAAGAGGAGGAGGAGAAGAGGAGAGGAGAGGAGAGGAGGAGAGGAGGAGAGGAGGAGAGGAGGAATAGGAGAAGGAGGAAGAGGAGGAGGAGGAGGAGGACGAGGCGGAGGAGGAGGAGGAGGATGAGGAGACTCACCAATTTTCCCACTGCGCCGCTCCGAAAGTTTCCCCAATTTCGCCACCGTGCTCGCCGGGGCCATTTGGGATTGCGCGCGCAGGATGAGACTCGCGGGGTCCGAGGGCGGACGGGGGCGATGTCGCGAGGGCAAAATCGGCGCGCGGATGGGCAGGCCGGCGCCCCGTTTGGCCGGAGGGGCTCAATACAATGCAAGGGCAGAGCCCAACCCCTGCCCGGGGTCACGGGATCGGGTTCCCCTTCGGAATTTAAAATGTTAAATTCCAAACGGTGTACGGACCCGAAAAAGAGCAAACGGCATAGGATTTCCTCGACAAAGAGCTTTCGGGTTCGGTCATGCGACGACCCGAAAATTTTATCCGCCTAGGACTTTTCGGACAAAACATCGATCTCGACGTCTTCGGGTCCACTCCGCAGAAACCGAACATGGACAAACCGCCTAGAACATCCGATGGCAAACGGTTTCTCGGTGGTTCCGGATTTCGTCCGAAGGAGCCGCCGATGGGCCGACCGTGCAGGACTTCCTGCACAAGAACCTCTTCCCGGGTGAGCCACTGTCAAACGGGAGCGCGCCGCTCGCGGGATCGGGGTTCGCACGGGGGCGCAGTTGCTGCGGCCTGTCCAAGAGGCGCGTTCCCGCGCCCTTCCAGCATCGCGTTTGCTCTGCATTCGCGCGGAGCCGTTTTTCTCAAATCGGAATAAACTTTCGGAGCGCCGATGTACGACGCACCCTCCATCTAAACTGCCTCTTCGCAGGTCACTGAAGGAATTTCTGTTCTTTGCGGGAAGCGACCCTTTGAAAACCAGCTGCCTGAGAATCACCAGCCCTGCCAAAACACAATTCCTGGGACTTCCGCGCCTCGACTCAAGGTGACTGTTGCGCCCTGGCAATGCAAAATCGTGTCAGAACGCAAAATCTGGGACTTCGACGCAATGACTTTTTGAGACTGTTACGTCCTGACAATGCTGAATGGTGCCAGACCGCTACTCCTGGGACTTCAACCGCACGAATCACTAAAACTGTTGCAAACTTTGCCGAGAAATGCGCGCGGCGCTCAGGCGAGAAGCACATGTTTGAAACGAACGACGGTGTGCGGCTCTAAAACAGGAGCAATATTTTGACAAAGATCCTGCCCTTCACCCTTGAAACTGCTGCAAACTTTGTCAACGAATGTGCGCGGCGCTAAGGCCAGAACCATCAGAATGAGGGGGCCGAACGGTCATTCACTGTCCCTGGGTGCGTGGCTGAAAAAGGGGTTCCGCGGCGCGGATTATGCTTGTTTGTTTGTTTGTCTGCCTGTCTGTCGTTGACCCACCCGCAACCCGCCCCGCGACCCACCCGCGACCCACCCCGCGACGCACCCACATTGCTTTGACGAAAAAATCAGCGCCTGCGGCGGACTCATTGCGCAATGTGTCAAACAGAATGTCGGCGCCTGCGGCGAACTTCTTCAGAGCCTCTCAGACTGCTGACGACCCCGCCGCTCCCACACTCTTATCCGCAGCTGCGGGGTACTACGTATTTTGGAAAGGAGCTGCCCTCCATCCTTGCAGCTGGTGCAACTTTGAAGGCACATGTGCGCGGCACTACCCCGAGAGCCACATTCTGAAAACGGCACGCCCTCCATCTTTGAAGCAGTTGCAAATTTCAAGTTCCAAGATCACAGTTGGTGAAGGAGTCTCAGGCGAAACGCCCGGCCCGTACTACTGACAGTTTTGGGGGTGCGACATGGGGGAGTTATTTGTCAGAGTGAGGGGGCCGAACGGTCATTCACTGTCCCTGGGTGCGTGGCTGAAGTGGAGATCCGCGGGGCGGATTCTGCTTGCTTGTTTGTTGTCGTCGTCCCATCCGCGACCCGAACAGCGACCCGAACAGCAACCCGCCCTGCGACCCACCCGGCTACCCACCCGCGACTCACCCACATTGCTTAGACGAAAAGATCGGCTCCTGCGGCGGGCTCGTTATGCAATCTGTTGAATAAACGGCGCCGGCGGCGGGTTTCTTCAGAGCCTCGCAGATTGCAAACGACCCCATCGCCTCCTCACTCTTATCCGCAACTGCGAGGTGCTATGCAAGGAAAAGGAGTGGAGGTGGATGGGGCGAGGATCGAGGAGTAGTGGTACGAGGATTCGTTTTTGACTGTGTAAAGCGCCATGCCAACTTATGACCGACAGGTTCAAACTTGGTGGACCGAAGATTGAATCGATCGGGGCATGGGTTCATGCTCACCTCAGCTAGCGGCGACCTGCTGAAGATGCAACCTTTTACGAACACGCTGCACGGCCTGAAGCTTTTCGGGGGAGACGACATGTGGTCCGTTGAGGGCTACTGCGCATCAAGCCGAAAGGTTCAGTGGACGCTGCATGGTCCAAGAGCCACAAAATCCACAACAAGTAAATCGCCCTTTATGCCCCAGCTCGTGACAATGCTGCAGCTGCTCACCCATGATGAGGGCAGGGCGAGCAACCCTCTAAGGCGGGTCTGCAAGGGCCAGGCTCTTCAGAAGCCAGTCCTCAGCAGATGGCTCGCTCCTGACAAGCTCCTCGTCCTGATGAGCTCGCCGGCGGCTTGCCAGCTCTCCGAGCACGTCGACGTCCAGGTGGAAGTGGGTGTTTGCCCCTTCGCAGAGCTCCGCAGCGCCAGCGCCGTGAGCACGGGGAACGGCATCTGAGCCTTCGGCGAGAAGCCGACGAACGGGAGCGCTTAGAGTTGCAAAATGATCAAAACTGGTGAATCTTCTCGCTTCTCGCTTTGCAGCGCGTAGAAGCCTTTGTCGGGCCCTTTGTCGGACCGGAAGCCCTGTCGGGCGGAGCGACGCCTCGCTCGCATCACCTCGTGCACCAGGAGGGATAGCTCGTCATTCGCAGCTCCTCCTCCTGGGCCCCGCCCAGGGACGCCGTCCCCCGAGTTTCGGGAAGCCTCAGAACTCGAACATCTATAAAACCCAAAGCCTCGATCCTCGATCTCCCCTCACCCCCAAGGTGCCCGAGTTTAGATGAAGAGCCTCCACGGAAGCTGGTGGCATCTCTTCCCGATGACGTCGTTCTGCGGTGTGCTCCCTTGGCAGCAGAGATCGTTCCAGTGCAGTTCGCATCGCGTTGTCTCCTCCTCCTCCTCCTCTTCCTGCTACTCCTCACCCTCTTCCTTCTCCTCCTCCTCCTTCCCCCCACCCGCCCCGCCTCTCGCTTCTCCTCCTTCCTGCTGCTGCTCCTAATCCTCCTCCTCCCCTCCCTCCTCCATCCATCTTCTCTTTTATAATCAACTTCTCCCTATCTACCCCCCGACATGTAGGTAGGGCAGGCCAGGCGTTGCGCCTGAGACTTCCTCACCAACTGTGATCCCGGAACTTGACATTTGCAACAGCCTCAAGGATGGAGGGCGGGCCGTTTTCAGAATGTGGATCTCGGGGTAGCGCCGCGCACATTCGTTTTAAACAATTGAAAATGGAGGGTGGGTCTTTTTCAAGCTGTGGCTCTCGCCTTAGTGCCGCGCGCATTCGTCAAGAAGGTGCAACATTTTGAAAGATGGAGGGCGGTTCCTTTTCATGGTGTGGCTTTCCCCTCAGCGCCGAGTACAGGTGGTCTCAAAACATGGCAG